TTTTTTTTGCGGCGTTATTTTTTTGTTTGCCGGGGGGGGGGGGGGGGGAACGGGAAAAAAATGGTTTTTTTCCTGAGCTTCAAAATTTCCGGAAATTTGACATCTCTAGATGAGACTGGGCCAGCCTGGGCCATCCAGGTAGAGGCAAGAGATGCCAAGAAGTGGGTTTGCCCATTGCCTGCCTCTGCGTAGCAACCCTGGACTTCCTTGGCGGTCTCCCATCCAAGTGCTAGTCAGGTCCAACCCTGCTTCTCTTCCGAGATCTGACGAGATCGGGCTAGCCTTGACCGTCCAGGTCAGCCCTTTCTTGTAAGATACCTGTGGTAATATCGGCTTTGAACATGATGCCAAAGTACCGTATAAATCCCATTGTTATCCCGTTGGTTGTTCTTTTATTTATCTATTTATTCGATTTTTAAAAAAACATTTTTTATTTTCAGGGTATTACAACATGTTCACAATTACAGCTTCACATTTGTCAAATTCCCTTTTCCTTTTCCCCCTCCCTCCCATTCCCAGGCTTCCAGCAATGCTCCCACCCCCTCCATACATTAATTCTTATTTTCCCATCTTACTCCACTTATTACTTAGTCAATTAACTTCTGTTAGCTTATATTTATAATCTAGTTCTTAGGCAACCTTTTAATTATCTGTTCAATTAGTTCATTTTCATTTTTCTGTTCTTAATAACTATCAAAACTATATATCTCTCTCTCCCTTGCTACCGCAGGGCTCCGGGCGAGTAACAACATTTTTGTAATCAAAATGACCATCGTAAGTGACTTAAGACAGATCGGATCTCATGTGTTTCCTTTTTTGTCGTTGTCTCGACAGTTTTTCCATCGGATCCCCGCCTCAGCCTTCCGCGCTACGTGGAGGCGAACACCTCCGAGCTGGTGACCTGTGAAGTGACCGGGGTCTCCCCAGCTCAGGAGGCCCAGTTTGAACTGACCTTTGCAGAGGACAGACTGGTTCCCGATGTGGAAGTGTGGGGGGATACGGCAAGGGCCCAGGCTCAGGTCTCGCCCTCAGTAGCAGGGAACCACTCCCTGAAATGCACCGTTTCTCTGGGCCCTGTGACCAGAACAGCGGAGGTCAAAGTAAACGTATACAGTGAGTATCTCTGCCATTGTTGGCGTCCATAAAACTCTCTGAGGGAGAGAGCCAGTTTGGTGTATTGTTTAGGAGTATGGATTCTAATTTGAGAGAACTGGGTTTGAGTCCCCACGCCTCCACGTGCAGCGGCTGGGTGACCTTGGGCCAGTCACAAGTTCTCTCAGAGCTTGTTCTCTCAAGGGCAGTTCTCGAGAGGGCTCCCTCAGCCCCACCTCCCTCACGGGGTGTCTGCTGTGGGGAAGGGAAGGGAAAGGAGATTGTAAACCGCTCTGAGACTCCTGCAGGTAGAGAAGGGTGACGTATACAGTGAGTATCTCTGCCATTATTGGCGTCCATAAATTTCTCTGAGGGAGAGAGCCAGTTTGGTGTAGTGGTTAGGAGTGTGGATTCTGATTTGAGAGAACTGGGTTTGAGTCCCCACTCCTCCACGTGCAGCGACTGGGTGACCTTGGGCCAGTCACAAGTTCTCTCAGAGCTTGTTCTCTCAAGGGCAGTTCTCGAGAGGGCTCCCTCACAGGGAGGGTGTCTGTTGTGGGGAAGGGAAGGGAAAGGAGGCACGACTCCCCTCTAAAGCTCACCACAGTGAGGTTTCCGTTACTCGGGAAGGCAAAAACACAACCCAAATAATAGGGTTTTTTGTTGACCCGTGTACAAGGCTACAGGAACAATCTCACATGGTGGCGGGGTGCCATGCAATTCCATCGGTGCCCCCGAGGGCATCTTCGTTGTCCAAATCCCTAGCGTCCTTTTTCAAAACGTGTCGAGGATGGCATGCACCAAGAGTCACATGCAGGGCTATTTTTGGGCAGGTTCCTACCCTGCTGCTGGACTCGAACCTGGCTCTTCAACTGCAGACTGGCACGACTCCCCTCTAAAGCTCACCACAGTGAGGTTTCCGTTACTCGGGAAGGCAAAACCCAAATAATAATAATTTTTTTTGTTGACCCGTGTACAAGACTACAGGAACAATCCCACATGGTGGTGGGGTGCCATGCAATTCCATCAGTGCCCCTGAGGGCATCTTCGTTGTCCAAATCCTGAGCGCACTTTTTTGAAACGTGTCGTGGATGGCATGCATCTCCCTTCCGCTCCCCACAACAGACACCCTGTGAGGTAGGCGGGGCTGAGAGAACTCTGACAGAAACTGCTCTTTTTCAAGGACAGCTGTGCCAGAGCTTATGACTGACCCAAGGTCACATCAGCAGGTGCAAGTGGAGGAGTGGGGAATCAAACCCAGTTCTCCCAGGTTAGAGTCCGCACACTTAACCACTACACCAAACTGGCTCTCCAAGCAAATAACAAGCAAAAGGTGGGTGTGGCTGGATAACCACACTTCTGGTAACACGGGGGAATGGCCTAATATGCCAATGAGTTTCTGCTGTCAGGGGTGTGGCCCAATATGCTAATGAGTTCCTGCTGTTGGGTGTGGCCTATTATGCTAATGAGTTCCTGCTGGGCTTTTTCTACAAAAAAAGCCCTGGTCACATGTCACTGATAGTCCACCTGACCCACCCCGGTCCTTCCTGTGAGCCGCCTCCGAAAGTCGGAGAAAGTCCCTTTGCTCGTCTCTCTCTTTCTTTTTTATTTGTGTGTGTGTGCCCATGCCTCGAAGTCGTGGCGCCCTCTGATGACTCCTCCTGGGGCATGGAGGATGTTCGGAGAAGCGGCTTGATAGCCTGCCTCTGCTTCCCAGCCCTGGTATTCCTTGGAGGTCTCCCATCCGAGTAATTGCCAGGGTCAGCCCTGCTTAGCTTCTGACGAGATCGGGCTTGCCTGGGATATCCGGGTGAGGGTGCCCGTCTCTTTCTTTCGTATACTGAAGAATCTAAACGTTTGGTGGAGGGGCACTATTCGGCCGCGGCCTTTTTTTACTTGCAGCTTCTGCCCGCTGGGGCCGTCCATGAACATAATTCCAGCCACAGGAGGTTACACGAACTGTGCAAAGAGTTGCCAGCACTGGGTTGGGAAATTCCTCGAGATTTGGGGGTGGAGCCCCTGGAGGAGGGATTTGGGGAGGGGCCTCAGCTGGGGTCTCATGCCACAGAGTCCGCTTACTTAACTTAAGCTCTGCGCACTGCTGTGACCGAGGGAACTTCCAGCATTTGAAAACCAGAACCAGTTCAGTCTTTAAAACACTGACGCCTAAAAGCACTTATTATTTCAACCGCAGTAGACAACATCAGGCTGAAAAAGGAAACGCGTTTTTTTAAAAAGAGGACTTTTAGAAAGAGATTTAAAAAAGAGAAGTCTCCCAAACATAAAGCACAGCAGACCTAAAACCAGCACCAGACTGAGACAACTACTTACCAGGCAGACGTAAAACGGGCTGATTAAAAAAGAAAGCCTGTAGGAGAACTGAAACAGTATCTGGGAGAACGGAAACCTCTTCTCCTGGGGTATAAATCCAATCTCCTCTTCTTCTTTTACCTCACAGGGTGTCTGTGGTGGGGAGGGGAAGGGAAAGGAGATTGTGAGCCACTCTGAGACTCCGAGTGAAGGGTGGGGCATACATCCAATCTCTTCTTCTTCTTCTCCTTGGCATACCAACACGGCTGCCCTCAAACTCTCTCCAAGGTCTAGTTTTCAGTCCAGTAGCACCTTAAAAGGCAAACAATATTTCCAGGCTATAAGCCTTCCAGAGTCAGATAGCACAAAGGGAGCGTTGACGCTCGCAAACTCACACCCCGAAAATTTCGTCCGTCTCTGAGGTGTTTCTGGGCCTAAACCCTGGCTTCTGTAGTGCAGACGAACATGGCTGCCCACCTGGAACGGTAAATCAGTTACCTTGGAAGGTATCATGAGATTGCTTCTACTCCAGGAAGTCTTCAGCCTGGTGACTTTGGGGGCACTTTTGGAGTTTTGAAAAACATTTCATGGGTGCCGAGACAGCTTTCCTTTTCTCCCCCTTTCATTCTCCTCCTTAGCCAAGCAATTCCGGCAGCTAAATCTGCAAAAAGGAGAAGCAGAAGTTCATGTGTGTTTGAGCCCTCAGTTGGGGTGTTGGGGAGGAGGAGAGGTTTGAGACATTCCGACAGTGGGAACCAAAATAACAAAAAACGAAGTGTTTCACAGTGAATAAAAAGGGACATATCAGAGTTTCCCCAGCCTTTTTGAGCCTGCCGGCACCTTTGGGGATTCCGACACAGCGTGGCAGGCACAGCCACAAAATGGCTAACGCTGAAGGTGGTGCTGGCCACAAAATGGCTGCCGCTGAAGGTAGAGCTGGCCACAAAATGGCTGCCATGGCTTTCCTTCAGTCACCCGGCGAAGATCCTTGTGCTGCAGTGGCAACAGTGCTTGGAGGGGCGCGACAGTGGGAGGGCTTCTAATGTCCTGAGGGGAGGGGCCTCAGCTGGGGTCTCATGCCACAGAGTCCGCTTACTTAACTTAAGCTCTGCGCACTGCTGTGACCGAGGGAACTTCCAGCATTTGAAAACCAGAACCAGTTCAGTCTTTAAAACACTGACGCCTAAAAGCACTTATTATTTCAACCGCAGTAGACAACATCAGGCTGAAAAAGGAAACGCGTTTTTTTAAAAAAAAAGGACTTTTAGAAAGAGATTTTAAAAAGAGAAGTCTCCCAAGCATAAAGCACAGCAGACCTAAAACCAGCACCAGACTGAGACAACTACTTACCAGGCAGACGTAAAACGGGCTGATTAAAAAAGAAAGCCTGTAGGAGAACTGAAACAGTATCTGGGAGAACGGAAACCTCTTCTCCTGGTGCTCCAAAGACTGGGCATTTGGTGGGAGGCAAACTTCCTTGGGGAGGGAGTCCCACAATACACAGTGCCATTACTGAGGAGGCTCTGTCTGTCCACGGTTGCCAGCCCTGGTTTGCAAAATTCCTGGACATTTGGGGGAATGGAGCCTGGTGACCAGTGGTCCCTCTAACCTGTGGAGTCTTGTGAGCAAGAATTCTACTTTGTGTGAGCTCCTGGCATTAAAGTTGTGAGCGAGTGATTTGGCTACTGCATCTGTTAGTTTGCTCTGGAACCATCCTTCCAGAGCTAGGACGAAAATGTGTGAGCCGGAGGCTAAAAAACGGTGAGCTAGCTCACACTAACTCAGCTTAGCGGGAACACTGCCCGTGGAGGGGAGGGACCTCAGCGAGGTAAAACGACAGAGAGTCCACCCTCCAAAGCAGCCATTTTCTCCAGGGGAACTGATCTCTCTGTTGTCGGGAGATCAATTGTAATTCCAGGAGGACTCCAGCCCCCACCTGGAGGTTGGCAGCCCTAGAAGTAACAAAGGAAACAGCCAACGAAGTTAATGATAACACCAAAGCCGGTTCCTGCAGTTTGGTGCCACCAAGAAACTGTACCCAGGATGGGCAAGTTTGATTCCTGGTTGGCAGTAGTGTTTGCTGACTTAGTTAGTCCTGAGGCGTTAACTCCTTTTATTTTTAGCCTTATTTATTTGTAACAACTTGAAGCGATATATGTCTGCTGACTGAGGATCCACTTCATGCATCGGAGTAACTGGGTTCTAAACGCAGACGTTTGCTTTGATAAATCAAGATTTGAGCCCAGAAGCGGCCTAAAGGCCAACATGCTTTCCTGGGGATGAGGTTTCGAGAGTCCACGCTCCCTTCATCAGATACGAGTGCTATGTCTGACAAAAGGAGCTTTGACTCTCAAAAAGTCACATCCAGAAAATCTTGTTGGCCTTACTGGACTCGGATCTAGCTCGTCTAGTTTGGTGAGCCAGTCTGCTGTGGTGCTTAAGTGCGCAGACTCTAATCTGGGAGAACCATGTTTGATTCCCCACGCCTCCACTTGCAGCTGCTGGATGACCTTGGGCAAGCCATAGTTCTGACATTAGCTGTCCTTGAAAAAGAGCTGTTTCTGTCAGAGCTCTCTCAGCCCCACCTCCCTCACAGGGTGCTTGTTGTGGGGAGGGGAAGGGAAAGGAGTTTGTGAGCCGCTCTGAGACTCCTTTGGGTAGTGAAGGGCGGGGTATAAATCCAATCTCTTCTTCTTCTTCTCCTTCTCTAA